TCTCCACGCAACCCGGGTCATTAAGTTCTTCACTGATTATTAGGCATGATTAAATGACATTTCGAACCACTATACCAAGTACGATTTTTTTTTGAGCATAGCTTTCCCGCTCAGCAACGTACAATGAACTGATTTCACGATGCGCTCAATAATAAATAAATGAATGAATTGTAGTGAATAAGAAAGACGTTGATACCATAAGGTCAGCTATCATCAGCACAAGAAAAAGGCACGAGATCGGCGATCAAGCACCGTCATCTGGGTCCGCCTGCGTTCCTTTAGAGGTATACCACACGCTTGCTCAGTCCTTCAATAAACCCCCTTTACACAATGAATAAATAAATAAATGAATAAATAAATAAATAAATAAATAAATATCTACACATATAATTGGCCTAGGTCATCGACAAAAACATTTAGCGGCGCTAATTCTGATAGGGACAGGGAGTGGGGATATTTTTTTGTCTTTGAACGCGTATTTCTGGCATCTATGACGCAAATAAAGAAGTAAGGGCACTTGCAGCGGAATTGGCGATCTTTCGAACCACGAGATGAGCTGTTCAGACGCTTCTTTTTTAACAGTACCAGGTGGCGGGAGGCGCGGTTAGCGTACGCTTCGCGCGCACGGTCTCGATTTATTCTTTCCCCAGGCACGCACTTCGGAGCACTGGACAGTTAACCAAAATGGTTGGCGATGTAGCGGTGCGCTGAACGCAATCACCACCGCTGCCTACCGTGGCGATTCGCACCGCCTCCCACAGTAGGGATTTCGCCGCACATAAACGCATTCGGCGTTCTGAATGCGTAACTTGGCAACTAAGCGACGTCAATGGGGAATCAGAAGGTCGCGATGGTACACGCCAGACTTCTCCTTCTTCGATTAGTGAAGCCTTTGAAGAACAGTTTGATGATGATATGTGGGTTTCACTAGCCCAAAAGAGGCTTGCTTGGCCAAAGAGTGCCTTAATACAAAACTGGGGGGACCTTTAGGCTTCACTTTTAACAGTTGAACGCGATAGCGATATCCTGTCCCTGGTTCGTACTTCAAACACTTAGTGCATGAAATCTTTTCGAACTTGCTATGTACTGTTACGACCGGCGCCTGGGCTGACGAGGGGGCGGCGGTAACTGTCTCTCAGGGGGAGGACACCTCAACAGTAGCTGACGAGGGATGGGGGTGGATAAGGAATTGAAAGGATAGGAATTAAAACTATAGAGATAAAAGGAAGAGCAGGAAGAGAGAGAGAGAGAGAGGCGCAGAAACAGCCACATACGGAAGTCACGAAAAGACAGGAAAGATGGACACGGTCGCAGGAGTCCGAGGACGGGGCACCACTCAGCGAGAGCTCTTGTCGGCGGCAGGAGATGGCGTAGGGCGAGCCAGTCGGCCAGAGCTGCGCTGTCGTCGGAGATCGTGGGGCACAACCGGTGGGCACGAAATCCCGCGAGCGAATCCCAAGAAGTTGCCGAAGGGCTACCGCCCCCAGTCCGCCACGTATTGTCCTTTCTATAGCTGGAATGTAAGGCGCCGTGCCACCCGACGCCGAAAGATGTTCTACGAGCCGACAACAATGGCTTACGCGGTCGCTACGTGTTCTTGAAAGAGACAGCGGCATCAGCCCCGACGACAACTCACCCCGCTAATAGAGCGAGCAGTTCGCCAGACCCTTTTGAACTTTGTTGCAGCAGGCGTTTTTGATACAGCTTGTCGTCTGAGTGTGAGAGCCCTCAACCAGCGACACTCTCATGACAAGGAACAGCCGCGCTGGTGCCACATTGCAGCGCAGTAACCACACCCCAATGAGTGACGTTTACCTGGACATGGGCATCACCTTCACGAGTTGTATGTGACATGTGATGGATAGTGCAATCTGCATCTGTTCCCCGATATAGGGATCTAGGGAGAACGTACCCTTTGTAATGAGCCATCCCGCTCTTTTGAGAGCGCTCACCATGTACGAAATGTAAATAAACCTTTTGTTAAGTTCACCATCCTCCAACCTCTAGATCTTCCTCAGGAATCATTCGTGCCCCAAAGGCCGATCGCAACAGCGCCCACTACGTGGCCCTTGTAGTGGGTGGCTGGCTTTAAACCACGCAGCCGCTATGATGATCACATTTTCGCACGCCCGATGGCAATGTACGCTTGTACCACGCGTTATTACTGCAACATTTGATGTTGAATTGTGAAGAATTGTGAAGCAAAGAAAGTAACGCGTGCTTTCGTCAAGCACGAGTTACTTTCACCGCACGTCCAAGCGGACGAAGATGCTCTCACTATGGAGAGACACAGCGCGTATTTAAACGAGAACGGACTGAGCATTCTCGTCAATACGCGCAGTTTCCGCCTCCAATTAGCCGAACAATTAATTAGCTAGAAATGCGTCATTCCAGTTCTATATTCACTGTTTCCCACAGGCAGACGTGTGGCTTCCCACGCAAACGAGCCGCGTTCGCTCCCTTCGAACTAGAATTTGCTATAATTCATTTTATTTGCATCTTCATCAATTTTCATGTCACGTACAAGACAATAATTTTCCGCCGACAACCGCCGACGCCCGCGCCGTAATTTCAGTTCAACGAGCTTTTTAACACCATCGCGGTAAAATGTTCGGAAGAACAGTTTGTACCAATGTAGGCGAGTCTTTTACAGTATAGAGTCGTTATAGTCAAGGTTCGCCTTGCGTCGCAGATATAGAAAACCATTACAATCACGAACTGGCATGCACTCGGTCACCGCCCAAGCACTCTGCACATATGGTTAACAAGAGAAGCCGCAACGTGCGAACCCTAATCGGTGTTCGCAGTCCATGTGTTCCCTCGGTAATCTTTAGTGAACCAGTTTGGTCAACAGTGCACGGGATTCGTCGTATTTCTGTGGCAACGTAACAGCAAGCCCTAGCCCAGCACTATGCGCGACTTTGTACAAGTTGCGTAATTTGTTTTTTGTTCTCCAGTAGTAATACTCCTATGAATATAGCCTGCATTTCTTATCTCAAAAACTCAGCGCTCGTCACACTTCGCTCTTAGCAATGTCATGCCGTGCGCAGAGCACACACGCCGTGCGTGAGTTGAGTATAAGATGCGCGGCAATATTTTGAAGAAAGGCATATTAGATAGATGGCGATTATAGTTGTGGCAGAGAAAGAACCCCTAAATGCATTCTTTCTAATGAGAGTCTTGCTAATCATCTGGCTAATCTTTCCTTCATCGACACGTGAAGGAAAGAATAGCCAGACGCTCGTTCGGTTTACTACCACGCTCTAGCGGAAGGGATGAAAAGACTGTACACATTGCGATGCGCCATAGATGCTGGAATTAGGTCGAATGCAATGAAAATATCCTCAATCGATGAAATACGATTACGACATGATGCTACGACATGCACGCACATCAGTGCGCAGAAGACGGACGAGTACAGATCTTTTATTATTCAAGACCAACAAAAAAGGTTTCTTCGATTGCGGGAGCCGACGTCGCTAAGTCAGCCAGGAGCTCCTGCTTCTTGGCGAATGCCTCTGCTCACCCCGTCACACAGATTTCCTCGTCTGCGTCGGAGATGAGCAGTGATACGCACCGGTAATTTACGAGTCCTGTGGGCTATACCATAGATGCGTATACTACGACAGCCCCATAGTATGTGGAAGAGCAGAAGTGCACGAGGAATCTTGGCTGTGCGGAACTGTCACGTTGCGATGGACACGCGGATGCCGAAATATGCATGCTTACGTTGTTGCGCAAATAAAAGGATCGTGTAGTACAGCCGTCTATCCTTGAATGACTATCCTCGGCAAAGCAAGCGTTAGCAGCAAGAACAACACTCTAATACACAAGAAAGATAGCTTTTTTTCATTTCTTTTTGCGGTTCGACTGGGGATCAAACTCTCCTCCTTTTTGCATCCTCTTTTCTCAAAATAACAAAGTACGACAGACATAAATGACAGATCTCGACATAATATAAATGCCGTGAAGCACTCGCAGTCTTTAATTGACATCATGTACACGGAAATGTGCTTGCACGCATGTGCGGTGTCCGGAACTAATCAATCCGTCCCGAGCAACAAGCAAAGTTGTCGCTCTAGTCGTTCCATTATCTAGCAATCTTTAATACGCTCACGCACGTCGCACCATACATATGCTACGACGCGTACCGTGCTCATTCGCGTTGAGCCAACACTTGTTCGCCAGTTGCCGGATAGTGTGGATGAGCTAATTGCTGGCTGGTGTTTGCTTAGCGACAAACGATAGGTTACTGTTGGCTGGAACTCGATAACTTTAGCCAACTATGAGTTAGTCTTCATTAGCGTTGATATACACCATGTACAATGTTTGCTAGTGCTTGTTCATGTAATCTAATAACAGATAAGCATTCGCCTCCAGTTGGATTAGTAACTGCGAATTTTGGGGAAGTTTTCGTTAGCACAGGATAACACCGGCCAACTCACTTGAGGTTGTCTAGCGCCGACTGGACTATTCGTGCTTAGAAGCATCTAATTATAGCTGCGTACGCATTATACTGTGACTGCCAGTTGGAGTGAAGCGTTGCTCTAAACCACAGGAACGTGCCAACGCACTTCGCTTACGACAGCCTGCCAGCGCGTCAGAGCGTGCAGTGTAACTCCCCCCATGTAACTAGGTCTGCTTTCAAATGCGAGTGGAGGTGTTACGTTGGACTGGCAGGTGCCCTTTGAGAGTCATGGTGTAGTCGATGTGTCCGGTGGCGCCGAATCACCCACACTACAACTAGATTTACGCAGTTACGCCGATAGGGGCCTCGTAACACTAGGTTCTAAAAAGTGTGGCATCTTGGGCTAGTTGGTATGACATGACGATAATTATAGCGCGAGAACAAAACGACGACAAAGAGTTCTACGTCGTGCCATGCACAATGGAAAGTTCCTGGCTAACTGCTTTGTATAACATTATTTCTCACAGTTTACGAGATCCGTCTCATATTAAAGATAAATTCAGGTGTAGTAAAGCTGTTCAGTGAGGCTCACCCGCCGACACTCGTAGAATGCCCGTGGTCTCGACCACCTCGGCGCCGCTCTTGGCCTCGCAGCGGTAGTAACCCGTGTCATGCACGTCGGCGCTCACGATCCTCAGCCGAGAACCGTAGGCCGGCACGTTGGCGGTTGCCCCCTGCTGCTGCTGGCCGGAAGCTTGTCCACTTCCGCCGGAAGAGGCTCCGTCGGCGACGGAGGAAGCGGCCTGGCCCGCGGCAGACGACGACGGCGCCACGGGGTACTGTCGTATCTCGAGCCGGTTCCGTTCCTCCTCGACGGGCGCGTCGTTCTTGTACCAGCGGAACACGACCCGCGCACCGGGTCGGCCCCCGGCCACCTCGCACTTGAGGCGCACGCTGTCGCCGGAGTCCTTGGTCATGTTCACCAGGGGGCGCCGCACGTGAAGACGCGTCGCGACGGCGCCACCTGGTTGCGGAAGAGGGAACAACGTGGATGCGTCGAATTGCGTTCCAAAGTGTTTCATCGTTGATGAGCACATTTCGCCATACATGCAGGACGCCGTTGAAAAAAAAATGATATCGTAAGTAGTAGCCCTTCAACTCGGGTCAAGAGCTGAACCATTCCCTGTGCTACGAGAAGAACTGTGCTACAGAAGGTTTTCCTTTACGTTGTAAAAGCGTCTCCACACAGACAGGCACAAGCCAAATGCCGTGTAAGGTTCCCATGCCCGTAATTATAAACTAACCTTATCCTTAATTTATGTAAGTTACTGTCCTAGACAGGTTTATATTCCTGCTTTTCCTTTGCCTCCTGCTCCTTCCTTTCTTGCACACTATACGTGTGTTATAAGGGAAAGAAAATGGTGAGAGGGTAAAAGACCATTTGTGAATACTGACGTACCTTGTTTATCGCACCGAATGAACAGAAGAGATAAGCAAAACGCAAAGTAAGGATAAGGTTGGCTAACGAATAAGGGGCCTCAGTCTCCTCCCCCATTGGACCCCGGAGGACTCCCCGCCATTCATAACATTGCAAATGATAGTGTGTGCGAGTATGTCTTATATTGCTACGGAGCCTCTGAAGTTGAGTTGAATAAGCTTTGTTTGTAAAGCGGTTATCAGTGCGGTTGTCTGGGTCTATAAGCTACAGGGATCTGTCACTCGAGGAACATTTTTTGAGGTTCTAGGCAACGGCCCTAAGGTGAGAGAAGATTTCAATAGAAATCGCTCACCGTGACTGGCTTTCTTCGTGGGCTTCGTGGTTTCGGCGCTGGTAGAAGTGTCGGGACTCCTGCAAGACAAGCAATACACTCAGTCACTTTTTTAGCAAGAAAAGGACGCACAGGTTGGTCTAAACTCACGACATCTTTGACATCCACGCTCTACTAGGCGAACGTTTTAGAACTCTACGTCTTCAACGTCGCGTTGTGCGGTAGAACAAGTATCGCATGTGCACGCGAGCTATGTCTTCACTTCGGATTGCAGCTACAAAACGAAAGTGAATTAAAAAACGGTGTTCGAGTAATATAAACAGCTCAGCGAAACAGCCGAACCGGATGGCTTTGGCCTTCCAGTCGTCTTAGGCGAATGCACAAAGCAACCTCCGAGTTTTTTTCTTTTAATATATTTTATTCATACCTCTGTGATTGCCATCAGATTTTATCATAGCGTATAGCTATTTTACAACAACAACAACAACAACAACAACAACAACAACAACAACAACAACAACAACAATAATAATAATAATAATAATAATAATAATAATAATAATAATAATAATAATAATAATAATAATAATAATAGTCGGGTAATTGTATGTGTGATACGTTGGCAGAAGTTGAGCGAAAGCGGGGAAAAAAAAGGAATGCTTTAGACAGATGCACAGGTATGAAATTTCTTGAATATTAGTTACTCGTGTCGCACAACAACAAGCTTCTTCTCCTTCTATACAGTCAAAAGGTGCGCGGTAACACAAAAAGCTCATTTCCACTTTTTCTCATTTATACGAAACACGTTTGGAATATTGGCGGCTTTGCATATCGCCCCACAAACAAGCATTGATCAGGCGCCTCGCGAAGCACTCCGAATGCTTCGGCTAAGGAAGCAGAGCTATTGGCGTGCAATAAAAAAAAAAGAAAAGGCGAGACGTCGTTCCCGAAGGCTGCGTAGGTGAAAGTTGCTTGTTTCTTTTTTATTTTTCATACGGCTGTTTGTTCAAGCCGAAAGTGCCGTACGCACTCGAAGTTAAGCCGGCATCTGTATCTCTTTAAAGGGACACTAAGAAGCAACAGTCACTCAGTTTAGATTGACAAACTGCTCTCTGAGAACTCCAATGCCACATGTTTCCCTATTTGTAAGTTCATTATTAGCGGAGAAAATCCAGGCGGAAGTTTAAATTTTCAAATTTCGCGCTGAAATCTCCGTGCATGACGTCAAAATTACAAAACGCATTTTTAGTATTTTCGCGACATTGGCTCGATTGAAATTTTCTGAAACTTCGTATGCTAAGTCTATGGCACCCAGAGATGACAATGTACAATGTACAAGGACCCGGTTGCCGCCTTCATAGTCTCCTACGTCACGACGCTTTTTTGGTGCGGGAATCTCAAGGGGGCGTCTGCATCAGCATTTGGTTTTCGCGCGTTTTCTAGATTACCAAGCGTCGTGTTTGTTCTCAGTGATGTTCTCAGTATTGCGAAAATGGTACTCTACTAATACGCGAAAAATCATTGCACTCTTTATGTCCCCTTATTAATGAGCAGTTCTGTTTGAAAGGGCACTAAACGGAAGCATGAATTAAGGTTACGCCGATGAACCAAACTGTGAAAGCTAGAGTGTCGTTGATTCAACTACGCTACGCAAATAGTAGACGAGCAAAGTTTATATCGAAAGTCTCATTTTTCAATTTCCGGCCGAAACGTCGGATAGCAACGTCACGAATTTCAATGTGTTGCTTCACCGACATATTCGAAAACGTAGGTATGTCAAGCTGTGAGCTCTCTCACAAGGCAATGTATGCTACGGTTTTACCGATTATAGACATTACAAACTTGATTGCAGACGCCATCAGAATCTGTGACGTCACGAGGAACTTCAAGGTGATGTCGCCTCCGACATTTTCTTTTCTTACCTCGCGTTGTTTCATTTAGCGGCAACCCCGATGCTTAATTGTGAAATAGTGATTTACTCCATGCGAGATAAACAGTTTTTCTCTATCATGTCTTTAAAGTTGGCGGCTTAGCGTGGCGACAGCTACAAATCTACTTTTGCATAGCAGTTTTCATCGTAAATGTGTTGATAATCGCGAAAAACAGCATTAAGTTTACACAAAAATGAACATTCATATACATAATCTCCACACCTCAACGTCCACACCTCAACTTCTTGCCACGAAAACCAGTAATGAAAACGAATGTTGAAACCTTTTCTGCAATGGAAGTAGACCATTTCTAAGATGGTGGCACCTCTAAAAACGCATGCCGAAAACAAAGTTAGAGGAAAAACTCATTAACACAAAAATGAATTCTTGTAAAAGCACCACAAACATGTCACGGTCAAAAAACAAAGCAGCACAGCCTACAAGGAGTTTACATCGATAGCCTTCGTGATAATAACGTTTTATTACGCTGTGCTCGAAGCTTAACTACATGCGCAGTTGAGAGAAAACACCGCTAAAAGCTCTGTATATTCCGACTAGTTGATGAGCGTAGAAATCAACGGTACAACGATTCGGCCCCCGACGGTGTGAAAACCTACTGAACGCAGTTTTTCGTAGCCCGTCGGCAGACGTCACCAGTTTCGATTGATTGATATGTGTGGTTTAACGTCCCAAAACCACGATCTGATTATGAGAGCCGCCGTAGTAGAGGGATGTGGAAATTTTGACCACCTGGGGTACTTTAACGTGCACCCGAATCTGAGCACACGAGCCTACATTTCCGCCTCCATCAGAAATGCAGCTTTCGCAGCCGGCCCACGACCTGCAGGTCAGCAGCCGAGTGCCTTAGTTACTAGACCACCGCGGTGGGGCTACGTCACCAGTTTCACTGGGAGGGGTCAGCCTCTGGAGAAGAAGGATGCATTCATACCAACGTACCAGCGGTACTTTAAGCCACAACATGAACAGCAAACCATATTAACAGCAAAACAATTAAAATGCCCTCTAAACAAACGGGACGGTGCTAAAATTTTTATAACGAAACGACCGTCCAAGCCTAGGATTAAGTCAGACGGCTGAATTTTCGAAAACAACTAAGAAAGCACGAAAAAAAAAAAACTAAGACAGTTTCGCCTTATTAGAGCCAAGCCTATGTGCCTATGTTTCGGCTCATACCCACCATGGGGGAGTGGCTATTAAACCGGCGGTCAATATAATGGGCATAAAGTAATTTCGAATTTGACGAAGAAAAATGAATTTGAACAGATGTCTGGGGAATATGAAATTCAACAATCATAAAGTCACGTACGAATAAAAGTAGGTACTGAACTATTATTAGAAATTAATAAATGAATTTCGAAGAGCTAATGTACATTAGAAATAACCGAACAAGAAAACCTTCTGATGGCTCAAAGAAATTCGCGAACTGCTTTGCAGACGTTCCTGCTGGTGTGGCCCAGAGAAGAAGCTTCAAGAAAAAGAATGTTTTCAAAATTAAGAGTGATGCTTAATTTTCTCAATGAAATTTTTAAACGTTTTTTTTTCAATGGCTAGCGAAACCCCTTAGGCAGCCTTCTTTGTTTCCCTTGGTTTTCTGTTTCTTCTCCTCCTCTCATATCTCATACCCGAAGCAGGGGATGGGCCGAATAATAGGTGAATTCTTTAGTTTTTTATTAGTATATTAGTCAAACAAGCTATAGTTAGCTAAAAAAGAAATTTACGCACGAATGATTGACGATCATATATCAAAAGGATGGAGAATTCAGCTACATATTTTTTTTTACAATGGTGAACTCCTCTATGCCGAAAAAAAACAAACATCCCTGTGACTGCAGCCCAGAGTAGAGGCGCAAAAAAAAAAGACAACTGTATCTGATATTTTGTCTTTCTCTAGTTGTATTTATTCCCATTTTCTGCCCATTTCTCTTAGATTTCAGTTCTTGTATTTATTGCTTGCTTCCTCTTTCAATTTTTATGCGGTGTTTGTGTTGTGCTCTCTTCTAGCCATAGTAGTGATGTGCCGACATTATACAATCACCGAGCATGACAGCATGACCCCTTTAAAGTGGTCCACACTTAAAAAACAAGAGGACAGAGCAATTATTTCCTTCGTATCGTGTTTAACGTGATCGAAATCCCGCTGTTTCAGCGCAATGTATTAACCAAACTTCATACACGCGTCGCTAACGTAAGCCATCCCGACCAACTTTAAGCGAAGTCTGATTCTGATATACTATACAAAAAGTGCGCCATTCCTTTCCGATCGCTCGGGTTACACGCGAGAAAGCGCGGTACCGACGAATACACATTTTGCGAGGCTCGCTTTCGCTCCGGCGACCCGCTTGACTTACACCGGCGATATTTGCATATCGCCCCGCACGAACCAACGCGTCTAACATCGGTGTCGCGCGCAGTTCCGAACACATGCCGACGAGACGATAAGTTGTACGGAAAATGGAAAAGAAAAAGATAAGAAAAACAGTAAAGAAGAAATAGCGAGATATTGGGCCGAATACGCTGCATCGACGAAATTGCCATCTTGCTCTCTTAGTGGGGGGAGGAGAGGGGGGGTAAAAAAGTAATACCGAACTTCGGAGAACAAGACGTGAAGAAGGGAACGCCGGTGAAATACGCGTCGGGGGGCTGTGCCGGCGTGACGCAGAGAAGGAAAAAGCGAGTCTTGGAATGTGAATGTAAAATGAAACGGTGCAATAAGAACGAGAAAAACGGGAAAAGACAGCATGTCATACGGTTCTCGATAACGCACGTATCGCGCCATCGTCGAAATTAGACTGTGCTCACGGTCTACGTGAAGACAGTGCGCTATGTATACACGCAGCTCTTTGAGCGAACCCGTTTTCTTATCCACGCTCGCGCTTTGGTGCAGTTCGGTGAGATACTGACGCTATTTCCTCGTTCTTCTTTCGGCAGCTAATTCCTTATTTGCATCGGCGGATAGACATGAAGGCGGCGACTTTCCCGCCTATAAGTTATGCTGTGTGTTTGTGTGTGAAAGAGAAAGACAGGTTTATTTACAGAGAGGCAGAAAAGTCGGCCTGAGCATGCCCTAGCCCGTTACTCTACACCGGGGTATACGGAAAAGGGGGAAACCCAAAGACTAATGTAT